TAGAGAATAAATTAAAGCTACTCAAGATGTTCACTCTGGGTAAAGAAATTAAGAGGAGGTGTTTTTGTTTTGTTTTTTTTATTTTCATAGCCTTTATAAGTTATAAAACTGTATTACATTTTATTTACATTGCTTTAAAAAAGAACTGGACCCAAATTTACCCAGTAAACATATATTTTTCAAATTATAAGTCTGTGACTCGTTAGTGGGTTGTAAAATCAGTTCAGTAAATTACAGCCATCCTTTTTTAAATGAATTAAAATAGAAAAGCATAGAAAATAAGAAAAACATTGCATATAGTTAAGAGCATGTTACCATGAACTTTGTAATACACATACACACACACACATGGTCATAATGTAAAAAGTATTTTGAACTGTGGACCATAATCAAAATAATTTTTAAATCACCACTTTAAACTGCACTGCATTATTATAATGGTTACTATTATTTTAAAAGATTTTAATGTACCTCTCTTTTAAAACAAATTGCAAATGTTGACAGCTAATAAAAATATTCCATTGTAATACTCCTTAAAATCCCACTAATACTGTGCCTGAAAAATGCACATTCCAAGACTAGTAAAATGTAAATATTCTTTGCTCTCATATAATCAACTTTGCAGTGGGCGTGGTAGCACACACCTGTAATCCCAGCACTCAGGAGGCTGAGGCAGGAGACTCACCATGAGTTCAAAGCCAGCCTGAACTGCATAGCTAGCCTCTGTCTCAAAAAAAAAACCAAAAACAAAAACAAAACAAAACAAACAAAAAATTCCCAAAACAAACAAAAAAACTTTGCAATAAACTCAGAGAGAAGAGCAATAAACTCAGAGAGAAGAGCAACACAGAAAACAGAATTCAAAGTCCCCAAAACAATTTCATATTGTGGAATATTCCTGTTTCTTAGGTGATTTATCTTTCCAATTTTATATGGTTTTCACTAATATCAGTCTACAAAGACCCCTGAACAGAAGGACCCATCCTAGAAGCCTTGGAAATGGAAGGTGAAGGCAGCTTGGAAATAAAACCCTGCAACACACAATGCATAAACTAGAAACTATGTATCCAGTTGACCAACAGGTAGCTTCCCTTGCACCAGACCTGCACTACAATACACAATTCAAAGTGTATTACACACCTTGCAGTATCAAAAAATGGGCAGGAAGTTAAAAATCTTTGATACCTTTTTACTAAAGCCCTGTATTTGGCATGATATTTTTTTACTTAGCTAGATTCAATACGCACATTACTTTAGAGGCTAACCTTACCATTCACTTACATAAAATAATAGAAACTCCTGCTGAAAGCAAGTTCTACTATGTTCTACCTATAACAAAGCTTCATTTACTAACAGAAGGATCAATCCATAAACCAATGATAATGATCTGTACTTTTAAAAGCCACCACGATCATCCATGCTGGATGTAAAGAATGAATCAGTCTTCGTACACTAACGTTAAAAGACACTAAAGATATTTGTTGAATATATACAAGCAAGATACAATCATTTGTATTTGTGTATATGCATGCATGTGTATGTATACGCATGAGAAATAAATGACTTTGTTTAGCCTTTTTGGAGAGGCAAGATTATGGGGAAAGAAGGGATGACAGCAAAGGTGAGAAAAAGACATTTCACTGTATATATTTCACCCACTTGGGCAAAGTAGGGATTTTCATTCACTCTGCTTCCACTTCCCACCCACACCCCACATTCAAACACACATAATCGCCCAGAGGTAATTTGTAGCAAATGTACTTTCACTTTCCTCAAGGAAGGACTTTCACCTCATCTTGCAAAAGTGAATCCACCTCTTAGCACCCACAAGACCAGCACAAATGCCACCAGCCTGTCACTACGGGCTGCCAACACCCTAGGTGGCTTCCACAGCCCCTCTGTATTGCCCACTGTGTAAGGACAAAGTTATCTGCCTTCAGGGAGCTCACAGCCTCCAGGGAAAGAGAGAAGGGGAAATGGAATCTCCAAACAATTCAGTACAAGTAACAGCAGAGGTATATACTAGAGTAATTGCTACATTGTATCCCCCCTTCTTCCCACAACTCTGTAAAGTAAGAGCCTCTGGAACAAGCCTTGAATCCACAGTTACCCTTGGACCCCCTAGGCCAAGCATGGTACTTCCGTGAACTTTGTAAATGTCTCCTGAGCAGCAATGCAATTGAATTTCAAGAAACAAATCATATAGGACTTAATGTTTCAATGGTGAACAGTATACGTGTCAACTATTAATCTGGACCTGTGCACTGTATTTTAATCTTAGAATTTCAGCATCAAAACAAAAAATTTTTTTTTTTCTGTACAGGAGATGGAACTTGGGACCTTGCAGTTGGGAGGCAGGCGGCAGCCCCACTGAGCTAATCCCCAGCCCAAAACAAACATCTTTAACCTCAGAAGCCATCTAGTCCTCACTACGCAGTCTTGGCATTGATTCTATAAAGGAAAAATATGAAGGCTAAGCTTGTCTGTTTCTTTTCCTGGAAGTCAATATACCCTCATTTGTTTTTACTGGTAAAATGGAAAATGTTCATCCAGCAACTGTGTATATCTGGTCAGGATTAATGTATTGGTAATTTCTTGGAACTTTCAGAAAGATAGTAATTTTCAACTTCGCATGAGTTAGCCACTATTTATTCAAGGACTCTTACATTTCATTCAAGCCTTAGACTGCTGGGTATACACAGTAATATTCTCATTCACTCTTGCCCTACCTTGAGCTCTGTTCAAAAACAAATGGTAGAAATGAGTTGCAAATACAAAATGAAGAAGCATTGTTGCAATTAATCAAACCAAAGCCCAAAGGAAGAATTGCTTCTATTTTGAATGCATCCTTGTTATAAGGAAAAGCACCCTAAAGAAATATGAAAGCAAGAGGCATAATGAAAATCAAAATGCACATGGTGTCTTTATCCTTGCAGAGATAGTAATTTTAATCTACAAATAGCAAAGATATGTTGATTCTCCTTAGTTTATCTATAAACAGAATGACCAGCACCAGCAGAAACCCACAGTGAAGCAGATCTGTCAGAAGGACAGAACCGGAGAGCACCCATTTCAATGGTATTTTTATAGCTCTATGTAAGGGACTACATCAACATGCAAGCCAATGGGTAAATCCCCAAATCACCTGAAAAACCTTTACTTGAAAGACTAACATGGCAGCCCAACAGATTATTTATATATGATCAACTGATTATTTAGCATTTGGAACCCACCATCCACAGTTATAAATTCTACCCAAACTCCAAAAATTTAATCTGTATCTTTGCACAAATGACAAGACTTCAATAGCACTGCACATTTGAGAGTGACAAGAAGCAGGTACCAAACCAGCAAGGAAAACAAAAGCAGGAGCTACAAAACAGGACTTAAATATTCTACCTGTTTCCCAGACTGCTTGAAGAATCTGACCTAATGAATGTTTTCTGAAATAATACAATACCCAGTTTGGGGGTTGGGCGCGTAGGGCTTTACTGGCTAATTTATTTTTTTTAGTGGCTACAGTAATCTCCACATATTTCAATTAACTCAATAAATTTACTTATCACCATGAAATATACTATCCACATTGCTATAGATGTTATCTAAAAATATAGCCCTGTAAAACAATATTTTTAATGAATCTAAAAATACTGCCAGAGGATACATCCATTACTAAAAAGTATTTAACACCACATCATAAATGTAACTTAGCTATGCGATGTCACTGTAAGAATCTGCTAAGGGTGGCAGAATGTTTGCAAATCAGATAAAAATTGCACAAAAAATTACACGAAAAGCAAAGAATCCCCGGATCTTTACTCCTCATAATTTTCTATCCCTAATTTAGCAAACAGTGCAGGAGTAACACATGATTACAGAACGGAAACAGCTGCCCCCTTCAGCAATAAAATAACAAACCCTGCTTCAGAATCTCCCACGGTGAAAATCTCTGAAGAGCAAAATTACTACATTGTAGCTCATCAATCAACAGGTGACTTTTAGAAACGCATAGTCATTTTCAGGAATTAATTTTGTAGAATCTCGCTTTCTCCTTTACATTTTTTTTTTTTTTTTAAACAAGCTACTGCACTGCCATGTTGAATGAATTCCAACCGATTTCTTCTGGGAGCTTACCAGAAAAATGCCAAAAATCCAAATACAAGCTACTGCACTGCCATGTTGAATGAATTCCAACCGATTTCTTCTGGGAGCTTACCAGAAAAATGCCAAAAATCCAAATTATTTTAGGGCATTTTCCCATACCGTTGCAAGGAACAGAGCAGAATTAATAAAGGATCTAACAGTTACCACTTTTCAAATGCAAATATGTTGCCATCTAGTAAATGCAGCCTCCTTTAAATCTCCCCTCAGCGTCTATACAGTTCAGGGCACTACTTTTGTTTCCTTGAAAATCAAAATTCGCGCATTATAGTCAGGCATTATCTCAACTCAGCACTAACAAAAAAAAAAAAAAAAAAAAAAAAAAATTTAAGGGGATGATCCTGAATCTTAAAGTCAGGTTTGCCACCCTCCGCCTTACACACAACGTCCCCCAATAATTCTGACAAAGGAAGCAAACGTTGAGGTGATAAGAATCAGAGGCTCTGAGTTTCACGAACAAGGACTTAGCCTGGTCATTCGGCCCCTTCGGGCCTCAGTTTTCGGATCTGTATAATGTGGCCATTGAATTAATCACCCCCAGGGCTTCATCCGGCCTCCTCGCTCTCTGGGTGGCCTGAACTCCACAGGGGACACTGCGGACTGGTGCTGGCCCTGGCCGGGGTGCCCTGCCTGACACCGTCCTAGATGGGAGGGGACAAAAAGGAAGGGCGACAGCGGGAGGAGAGGAACTTGGACTTGCAACAGCTCCCCACAGGAGCGAGCGACAAACTTGAAGCCGCCTTCCTAACAAAAGGAGAGCGTTCTCCCATCTTCCTGGCTCAAACTTGCAGGACGCCGCGAGGTGGGGTCCCGCCGCCGCCCTCCCCGAACCGCTTTACCTTTCTCCCTGCTTGCTATTGGAGGGAGGAGGGTGCAGAACCGTCTGGTTCCCTTCCATCTCCACCACGCACTTGGTGTTCAGCTCCAGCTCTGAAATCACAGGGGCAGGCGAACGTTGCAAAGTCGAGCATCCGCGCCCCGGAGCCGGGTCGCCCCGGGAGGCGGCCGAGTCAGGA